GATACTAAATTATATGGAGTCCCTCTCCTGCTCCCTGGTCCTGTACCATGTATACCTGCCTGGAGTTTGCATGTTCTCCCTGTGCCTGCGTGGGCTTCCTCTGGGTACTCCAGTTTCCTCCCACACTCCAAAGACATGCTGGTAGGTGAATTGGCTCCTGTCTAAATTGGCCCTAGTATGTGTATGTATGAATGCGAGTTAGGGACCTTAGATTGTACGCCCCTTGAGGGTTAGAGACTGATGTGAATGTACAATATATATGTAAAGTGCTGCAGTGACAGCAATATATAAGTACCTGAAATAAATAAAAATAATAAATAAATATTCATCTCTGGTCTCCTCTGCCTGCTCCCCCTCACCTGCTGCCCCTGCTCCATGGTTCAGCCTCTCTTCTTCTACCTATGTGTGGCTTCTCCCCCCTCCACCCTGAACTATAATCCTCCCTGAACTATAATCCTCCCATCATTAGAGTTTGTGCATTAACCCTTCAGTGTCCAGATTCCATTGTATGTGCATTGCCTCGGATCCTGAGTTCACACTTCTGCAGTGCAGCACATCGCATGTGATTCGCACAGGAACCGCACCGCATTCCTGTGCAAATCACATGCGAATTCTGTGCGATTTTTGCTATGGCTCAAATCGCAGCTCATCCGCACCAAAAATGCGCAGGAACCTTTTTTTGGTCCGCACTAGAATCGGATTGGATTAGGTCAGTGTTTCTCAACTGCAGTCCTCATGGACCCCCAACAGGTCATGTTTTCAGGATTTCCCTCAGATGAAACAGCTGTGGTAATTACTAAGGCAGTGAAACTGATCAAATCACCTGTGCAAAATAATGGAAATCCTGAAAACATGACCTGTTGGGGGTCCATGAGGACTGGAGTTGAGAAACACTGCATTAGGTATTCCCACCCATGCGATCCGATTCTGCACATCGCACCGCGTTTTGCAAACCGATTTCGGGGTGCGATTCGGGGTGCACAATCGCACCCCCGCAGCGATTCGGGGTGCGATTGTGAGGCGGTGCGGAATTAGCACAGAAACCGGTGCAAATTCCGCACAGCATCAGTGTGAACTTAGCCTTGCAACATGGAACCCCCCCATGTTGAGGGCATGTGGCCTGGTATGGTTCAGGAGGGGGGGGGGAGTGCTCTCTCGTCTCCCCCCTTTCCTGACCTGCCGGGCTGCATGCTCAGATAAGGGTCTGGTATGGACCTTGGGGGGGACCCCACGCCATTTTTTCTTCATTTTGGCATGGGGGTTTCCCTCAAAACCCAACACAAAGGGCTTGGTATGGATGGAGGGGGGACCCCACGACGTTGTTTTATTATTTTTTTAAAAAGATTTTTAATGCTCTTTATATGCAGCTGAGCTGCAATATGTAGGTGGGGGTGTTGTGTGGGTGTGGCTTTGGCTTTAGTGTAGGCGGAGACACAGGGGGCCCAATTATCTCTTATTGCCCCGGGGGGCCCCATGAGTTGTCAGACCTCCCCTGGGACCAACGTATTCATTTTTATATTATCATTTTTCTAATATAATATTTCAAAGGGGCAGAAGAGTGGAATTCATATACTAGACACACTGTGAACACTTACGAAGTTGTAAAGGAATACAGAACCCTAACACAGCATTAGTAGAACCAGGGGTGTCCTTAGGGTTGGTGTCACCCGGCGTGATAACACTTGATGACACCCCCTCTGACGATCCCCGCAGAATGGATCAGATCTGCGGATTGAGCCTAATGGATTGGACTCCGATGCATTATCCTCCCCAATCCGCAGATCCGATCCATCCTGCGGGGATCGTCGGCTTGCTTTACAACTTACCTTTTCGTGGAGCGGGTCCAGTGTCACCCCGCGTGGTAGGTGTCACCCGGTGCCACACCCCCTGCACCTGCCTAGGGATGCCACTGAGTAGAACCATTAAGGGGTTCATATTTATATATTGAGATGTCAGATATTATTCACTTGTTTTCAATGTGTAATAAGCAAGTTTTCAGCGAAAGTGGCCAAAGGAACATATTTTCCCAGGGGCACATCATATGAGCGGGTCCGGTGTCACCCCGTATAGGTTGTATGCCGATGATCCCAGCAGGATGGATCGGATCTGCGGATTGAGCATAATGGATCACTGTGAACACTTACAAAGTTGTAAAGGAATACAGAACCCTAACACAGCATTAGTAGAACCAGGGGCGTCCCTAGGGTTGGTGTCACTCGGCGTGATAAAACTTGGTGACACCCCCTCCGACAATCCCCGCAGAATGGATCGGATTTGCGGATTGAGCCTAATGGATAGGACTCCAATCCATTATCCTCCCCAATCCGCAGATCCGATCAATCCTGCGGGGATCGTCGGCTTTCTTTACAACTTACCTTTTCGTGGAGCGGGTCTGGTGTCACCCCGTATAGGTTGCATGCTGACAATCCCCGCAGGATGGATCGGATCTGCAGATTGAGCCAAATTATTATTATTATATTATTATTATACAGTATTTATAAAGCGCCAACAGTTCGCTCAGCGCTGTACAATATAATGGGAGACAATACATGCGACAGTACAATGACAATACAATGCGATACACGAGGGGTTCGAGGGCCCTTCTCCTTGAAGCTTACAATCTAGGAGATGGATCAGACTCCGATCCATTATGCTCAATCCGCAGATCTGATCCATCCTGCGGAGATCGCCGGCTTGCTTTACAACTTACCTTTTCATGCAGCGGGTCCGGTGTCACCCTGTATAGGTTGCATGCTGACGATCCCTGCAGAATAGATCGGATCTGCGGATTGAGCATAATGGATCAGAGTCCGATCCATTATGCTCCCCAATCCGCAGATCCGATCCATCCTGCGGGGATTGTTGGCTTGCTTTACAACTTACCTTTTTGTGGCATGGGTGCGATGTCACCCCGTGTGGTAGGTGTCACCCGCACCTGCCTAGAGATGCCCCTGAGTAGAACCATTAAGGGGTTCATATTTATATATTGAGATGTCAGATATTATTCACTTCTTTTAAATGTGTAATAAGCAAGTTTTCAGCCAAAGTGGCCAAAGGAACATGTTTGCTCCCCATCACATGAAAAGGAAATGAGTTGATCATTGAGAGTGTATCTAAACCCAAGAATAAAAATGTAATATATTGCAACTCGCCACTCTTTAAATACGTTGGCTGCAATAGTTTTTATAGCACTACCCCTGAAAGAACCACAATATATTTTCACTGGTTTTTCCCCAAATCAGTGCAAGGTGCAACACAGCAACAGGCCAACACTCTTGCTCAATAAACAGTCTAGGGCAGGGGCGGACTGACAACTCATGGGGCCCCCGGGCAACAGGGGATCATGGGGCCCCTGTGTCCTTGCCCAAACTCAAAAAAGCCTATGAAAAAGGTACCAGGGGCATCTCATGGGGCCCCCTACTGACCCTGGGCCCTCGGGCAGTGCCCGAGTTTCCAAATGGTCAGTCCGCCCCTGGTCTAAGGGTTTCTTTTTTTGAACCTTGTTTGCTAGTAGAAATTGGGATGGGATTGGGGTATAATACTATACTCCGAATGATATATTTTTGCTAGGAGAGGATGATTTCCACCAAGTAGCAGTAACACTAGGACTGCTCCTATATAACCTCAGATAGCCCATGGTTCACGGCTGGAGCTCATGAAGCTGAATAAACATGAAGACAAATTTGGGTAGAATACTGGTCACGGCTGAGGACCATGAATCAGCTTTAGCGCAGGTAAAGAGGCTCCATTCACAAGATTATAGACAGTGCAGAAGTGCAGCCTCCAGCAAAGTAGTCCAGCCTTTAGTCAGGAAAAGGAGGTCCAAGGACAAGCAATTCCCCCCATTCCTCTCAATTAACAGATCGATCTCCACAGGGGAAAAAAAGATGATCCACTCACGGCTTGAAACTGTTGAACAGTAACCCAGCGATCTTTTGGGCACACCTCCCCAGGGATTGGCAAGGCGCTACTAAAAATTCAGACCTAGCATTTGAATTCTCCCGCCCTAAGCTCTAGAGCAGGGGTGTCAAACTGGCAATCCCTGGGGATGGCAGAGAGGGTGGAGGACACTGAATGGGGGCCAGTGGAGGGATTGGCAGAGAGGGATGGTGGACACTGAATGGGGGCCAGTGGAGGGATTGGCAGAGAGGGATGGAGGACACTGAATGGGGGCCAGTGGAGGGATTGGCAGAGAGGGATGGAGGACACTGAATGGGGGCCAGGGGAGGGATTGGCAGAGAGGGATGGAGGACACTGAGTGGAGGCCAGTGGAGGGATTGGCAGAGAGGGATGGAGGACACTGAGTGGAGGCCAGTGGAGGGATTGGCAGAGAGGGATGGAGGACACTGAATGGGGGCCAGTGGAGGGATTGGCAGAGAGGGGTGGCAGATTATTATTTATGGTTAACTTTAAACTGGTGACCTGTAGGGGCTGGTGGTTGGCTTGCCATCCAAGTGCAGAACTTCAATCTTGCAGCATGGGATACCATGTGGTAGATATCTGAAGCATGGAGACCTTACTTTTCAGCGAAGGTGAACTTTTTTTTTATTATAAGGAAAGAGTGTATATACATGCTACATATACTGTATATCTTTGGCTGAGAGGTAGAACATGTCTGTGGATCAGCTATCTGTGTGCAGCAGGATGTACCAAACACGCATTTTTCGATGGTCTGTTGGGATCATTTTATTAGACATATATAGGGCGGTGTTACTATGTCTATATATACCAACACAATGTAGGCCTCTCTGTACAGGTTTACAAACACCAGCTCTCTTCTCAGACCCAAACCAATCCAAGGCCCCCCTTGTACCCACCACCCAACCCCTGAGAAATGCCATTCATGACTTCTTGGTCCAAACCCACAAAATGATTGGGTAATCCATCAGTCCTCACAAGATGGTGTGTCCCTTGCAGAGCTCTAGGCCAGGCCTAATTGTTCGAGTGTGTTTACATAAGATTCGTTTTCTGTATCCTATCCAGACTTCAGTCATTCTTCTTCAGATGTTGGTGCGGAATTTCAGGTCTGTGCCTTTCATTCTCTTCTCATATTCCACGTCGAACATTTTATTTTGGGATTCGGTGAAATAATTCATCCAGTCTGCAACCTCACCTAAATTAAAAATGGACAGAAAACTTGTAACAAGAACACGGCACTTGAATTTTGAAAATGGAAAATTCTGGGAAGCGGTGTGTAGACAGTGAATAGTAGGCCTAGTCTTCTAATTTTCATTCAATACTACATTACATTAAAATGGAAAGACAGTAAGATCATCCCGAGAATTATATAATGATCCTTGCAGAGAAATAGGAAATAGGAATTATTGCAGTAACATCAAGGAGGTCTTCCTATGCTAACCAGAGTGTTGGATAAAGTGGAATACTAAATCTCTTATATACAAATACTTTGGTGATATTCCATTGAACATAAACCAATTTTGAAAAACATCAACTTCTAAATCTCTTCTTTTTTACATATAAATACTTTGGTGACCTTCCATTGAACATAAGCCTACACTCATCGGGCACTTTATTAGGTACACCTTGTTCCTTGACACCATGACACCACCAGCCTGAACCGTTGATACAAGGTACGATGGATCCACCACACCATGACACCACCACCACCAGCCTGAACCATTGATACAAGGCAGGATGGATCCTCCACACCATGACACCACCACCACCAGCCTGAACCATTGATACAAGGCAGGATGGAACCACCACACCATGACACCACCACCACCAGCCAGCCTGAACCATTGATACAAGGCAGGATGGATCCACCACACCATGACACCACCAGCCTGAACCGTTGATACAAGGCACGATGGATCCACCACACCATGACACCACCAGCCTGAACCATTGATAGAAGGCAGGATGGATCCACCACACCATGACACCAGCACCTCCAGCCTGAACCATTGATACAAGGCAGGATGGATCCCCCACACCATGACACCACCACCACCAGCCTGGACCATTGATACAAGGCAGGATGGATCCACCACACCATGACACTACCAGCCTGAACCGTTGATACAAGGCAGGATGGATCCCCCACACCATGACACCACCACCACCAGCCTGAACCATTGATAGAAGGCAGGATGGATCCACCACACCATGACACCAGCACCTCCAGCCTGGACCATTGATACAAGGCAGGATGGATCCCCCACACCATGACACCACCACCACCAACCTGAACCATTGATACATGGCAGGATGGATCCACCACACCATGACACTACCAGCCTGAACCGTTGATACAAGGCAGGATGGATCCCCCACACCATGACACCACCACCACCAACCTGGACCATTGATACAAGGCAGTATGGACCCACCACACCATGACACCACAATCACCAGCCTGAGGGCGTGTCTTGTTGCTCCTGTTTATTTTTTTAAATGTTTATAAACTAATAAAAATCATTGAAATACAAAAGGAAAACAAATCTGAAGGATATATTTTAAAAAAATATATTTTTAAAAATATTTTTCATAGATTTTGTAATATATAAAGAACACATTTTAACATGCAGTATATATTTATATATACTGCATGTCGAAAAATATATATATATTTGTAAATGTATTCCAAAAATGTAGATTTGTATTTTAAAGACATACAGTATATTTGAAATGTATTTTTAAAAATATTTATATATATTTTGTAATATAAACGCATTTCAACATACAGTGTATATATATATATATATATATATATATATATATATATATATATATATTTATTTTTTTATTTATTTATTGAAACATATTGAATATGGCCAAAATTGTAGTATATGTCAATATATTTGGGAAGAAATATTTTTTAAATATATTTCAAATATATTTTTCTTCCATGTGGGTATTAAGCATAAGGCTGGCCATACACTATACAATTTTCTGTCCAAATTCTGCCCAAATTCCTTTAGATTTACCTTCAACTATGTAGTCTAAGGGCCTAACTGGATACAATTGAAAGTGTTGTTTAGGTTTGAATTTAACTATAGGAATGCGCTGAAAACCAAAAAAACTTCAATAAACTGTGCATGAATCAGTGTAAGATCAAACAAAACATTTCACAAATAAATAATTAAATAAATCATAAAGTGTTCAAATAATCAATATGTGAAAGTCCAAAGTCCCACAATATAAATTTGAAACCACCATGTGCAATCCACCACCAAATAAAGTTGGGTGACTCACCAGAGCTATATGCTGATCAATTCATAGACCAGCATAGGCGCTATTGCTCTGGGAGCGATGGATATTCCAATTCCGGATATAGGGTGCAATATTCTGCAGTATTGAATCCCTTAGAATGAAAAACGCCACTCTGTGTTAACGATTGATTCCAGATAATCATGAAACAACTCTCCACAACCTCTCTCTCCTAGATGGATATACGGTTCTCCATAGGCATTGGGACCATGTTCAAAGGCAAAGAAAAAGGAATGATAGTGCAGCGTGTTTTTTTAAAACCAAACACAATTTAATATAATAACACACTTACAAACAAGGTGTCTAAACCGACACCAGCATCACGGGCATAGGTATAAAATCACTTGCACCGCTCACCGTGGATCATCTCCGACCGACACAGGAGAGGTGTCACAACGTCTGCATTCAGCTGGCCATGCCCTACGCGTTTCGTCACCACAACGTCCTCACGGGGCGGTCTGAATGCAGACGTCAGATCAGCCCTAGATATACTGCTCGCACTCTACATCGCGGCTTTGACTTAACCACTCACAGCAGCAGTGTGGAATAAACCACACTTCACTTAATAGTGGCAAAATTAACAAAGTATTCAGTATATAACTGTACACTCTGCTAACTATAAATATTATGGTATATGAGTAAGTCTTCCTTAAATTATACAAAACATACTATAATAAGTAACATATATTTATACAACGGCACAAAAACAATTAAAGGGCCATACTCATATTAAAGAACTACTCTACTTCAACCACATCTTAATATAAAATAATACATCAACTTAATACAAAAACAATATAATGTCTATTAGGGAAACCTCATTCATCTCAAAAAATACTAAAAATACTCGACTCCAACAATATTAAATCAGTCTAAAAAACATAAACTAAAAATTCAACTAAAAAAATCTAATCCATTTACCACCAAAATCTTTATATTAGGGGTAAACTAATTCATAATGACTGCCAAAAATGACCTTGGTCTTTATATTCCAAATAAAAACCTAGGACATCGAACCAGAAAATTTGTCTACATCTTTTATAAAAAAAAAACAAATTCTAAATTTGACACAAATACTATAAAAACCAAGGAAGTCAAATATGATATATAAAACCAAATATTTTAAACCAAAATCTAAAAATTCGTCAAAAAGCAATTTAAGTCGATATCTATATTCAAACCATTTGGTTTTAGGGAATTTAATTCATATATCCAATAGGTCTCCCTTTTGGATATTTCCTTAATCATATCTATACCTCTCCAATGTTTTTTTTATCTTTTCAATCCCATAAAAGGTTGCTAATTTTGGGTCACTATTATGTTTTAATTTAAAATGTCTGGACACACTATGTTTATCATAACCTTTTCTGATATTATATAAGTGCTCACCAATCCTAGTTTTTAATTGTCTCCCTGTTCTTCCCACATATTGGAGGTGGCACGGGCACTCCAAAACATACACCACGTGATGAATTACAAGAAATAAAATAATCGATTTTATATTCTTTATTTGTTATAGTAGAAAGAAAACTTTTTCTTTTCTTTATATTTGAAGGTTTATTGGTAAGCTGACATGCTTTGCATTTATTGCAATGAAAAAAACCATGAAAATCAGAGAAAAGGTTTATCTCTTTTGGTGGGACTAGTACATTATCAACTATTTTTGTTCTCAACGATCTATTTTTCCTATAGATGAAATTCGGCTTGTGTGGAATAATTCTTTTTAATGTTTCATCTCTAAGTAATATTGGCCAATATTTTTTAACAATTCCCTCTATATTCTTATATTGATTATTAAAGTTGGTAATAAAGGATATATCCGTTCTTTCATTTTTCATCTTTCTATTAGATAAAAGACTCTCTCTATCTCTTCTATCAATACCTTCTCTTTCAGCCACCAAAAAGGATCTCCTATAACCCTTGTCAACAAATCTGTCTATCAATAATTCAGTTTGATCAAAAAAATCACTCTGTAAACTGCAATTTCTTTTTATTCTTGTAAATTGACTTCTAGGGGTATTGAAGAACCATCTTGGATGGTGTCCACTAGATATCGGGATATAACTGTTTTTATCAATGTCTTTAAAAAAAGACTTAGTAAAAATATGGCCTCCATATTTATATAATGTCAAATCTAAAAAAAATTCACACTTTCAAACCCACTCATTACCGTAAATCTTAAACCATATTGATTATCATTGATGCTATTTAAAAATCTATTAAGATCTTCTATTGAACCTCTCCAAATCATTACGTTATCATCTATATAGTGCCTGTATAGGACCATTGCTGGCCATTTGTCAAAAATGCACTCTTCCTCCCATTTGTCCATTACAATATTAGCTACACTAGGGGCATATTTGGCTCTCATCGCAACACCCCTGCAATGCTGAAAAAAGGTATTATTATACCAGAAAAAATTATTCGACATAGCAAACTCTAATAATTCAACAAAAAACCTTCTCTGAACCCTTTTAATCTTAGATTTATGTTTCAGTGCCCATTTGACTGCCCTAATTCCATCATCTTGATTAATATTAGTATACAAGGATTCGACATCTATTGTGACCAAAAAACAATCTTCAATACCTTCTATAGTTCTTAAAATATAAATTAATTCCCCACTATTCCTTAAAAAATAATGATTATTTCTTACTATTGGTTGTAAAAATGAATCTATATATTCATATAGATATTTTAAAAATAAAGGAAACAAATTTTTGGAAGTTTTTAAAAAAAAAAATGGTTGAGACTGATATTAAAAATATGGATTTAAAGAGTAAATATCATACCTCTCATGATGTAATACAGGGTATTAAAGAATTAGAAAAAATGAAGGATATTGGTATTAGAGGGGCTGATAGGGAGGCAGTATTGTGA